TTTCCATCATATAATGTGAATGAAAAGCAACTTGTTTAGCAAAAATTTTTTTTCTTTAAGTGTTTTAACAAATTTTTCAATGCTTTGTTTAGGACCTGATACAGTAACTGTATCAATTGTATTATAACATGCCGAGACGATATCTGATGGATACATTTGTTTACATTCATCCCATGTTAAACCAACAGCAGCCATACCACCTTGAAAATGACGAAAAAGAAATTTTTTATTTGATTAAAAGGAAAAAAAAAGTAAATTATTTACCTGCTGGAAGATTTGCATCTCGAACACATTTACCACGAACATAAGCAGCTAAAATTGTTTCTTCAGCTGTAAAACAACCATCAGCATATTTTCTCATTATTTTTTCTTCATTTTAAAATAAGTTTAATGTTTTTTACCTAATTCTCCAACACTATGTCCAACAATACCATCTTGTTCAACATCCATAGTTTTTAAACAATCAACTAATGCAATTTGTATAGCAGCAATACTAACAAAATTATTAATTGGATGATCAAGATCACGTGGTGTTGATGATAAAATAAGTTGAAATAGATCAATATTATATTTTTTAAGTATAATTGAACTTCTTTCAATTGATTGACGAAATAATTTTAATTTCATTAAATCGCGTTCCATACGAGACCATTGTGTACCCAAACCTGAAAATACAAACCATACTAATCGTCGTTCATTATTACATTTCTAAAAAATAAAAAAAAATAAAAACTTAAAAAAAGAAAACAATTATTTACTTTAACTATTGTTGATGATTCTGATGGATTTAATAAAGTAAAACCACGATATGTATGTGTACGTGATGGATGAAATGAATTTTCTGTAATTAATGCTTGTAATTCAATATTATTTTCATATTCTTTTAAATTTTTAAGAATATTTTCACATCCATCCGCTGTACGAGCACAAGCAAATGCAAGACATATTTCATTTCGTGATAAATTTTCATTTTCTTTTCGATTTGAATTTGCTTGAAGTATGGCATGAACATTGGTACCACCAAAACCATATGAATTAATTGCCATTAAATTATTTGGTAGTCTAAAAATAGATATTAAAATCACCGATAATTCTTTATCTAAATCTTACTTTGTTTTTTCTGTTACAACTTTAAGACGGCCATCACAAAGACCTGGTATATCTCTATTTGGTGAATTATAATGTAAATTAGCTTAAAATAAAAATTACAAAAATAATGAAAGAAAACAACATTTGAACATTGTTTTTTTTACCAGGTATATGTCCATTTTGTAAAGCAACAAGTAATTTTGCTAAAGCAGCAACACCTGAAGCTGGTTCTGGATGACCCATATTTGATTTCGTTGAATCTATTAATAATGGTTGATGATGTTTACTACAAAATACTTCTGTAATTGAATTCATTTCTTGTGGATCATCTAATGAAAAAAAAAACAAAAAAATAAATCTAAATAAATCATTAAAAAAAAATTCTGTTCACCAACTAGCACGTGCTCCTGTTCCATGTGCTTCAACATAACCAACATGATTTGGATCAAGATGAATTTCTTTATAAATATTTTCAAGTAATTTTTTTTTTTGCATTTCATTGTTTGAAAATATAATACCATCTTTTTTCCAACCATCGGCATTTGTTTTTGAATGTAACAATGTTGCATATAAACGTTTGGCATCTTGTCGTTTTTGTATAAATATAGTAGCAATTGTTTCTGATCGAACATAACCTGTACCATTTGAATCAAATGCACGACATGTACCATCATTTGAAAGCATGTGTAATTTAAGAAATTGTACTGAAGTTTGAGAACGAAAACAAAGATTAACACCACCAACAATGGCAGCATGACATGAATCATTTCGTAATGCATTTAATGCACAATCAAGTGCTAAAAGACTTGATGAACAAGCTGTATCAACAGTATAAGATGATGGTCCTTTAAAATTAAAAAAAAATAACTAAGACGATTAGCAAACATTGATATTGCACAACCAGTCATACTATAATCTTCAAATGTTTGAGGATCGGATGAAAATACATTTTGAGCATCTGAACCATTTGCACCAATAAAAACATCAGTTTTTGTACCTTTTAATTTTATTGGATTTATTCCAGCATTATATATACTTTCATATGTAACTTCAAGTAAAAGACGTAATTGTGGATCCATATTATGTGCTTGTTTTGAATGAAGATTAAAAAATGCAACATCAAATCGATCAACTTCTTTTAATTTTCCATTACGTGTTGGAAGACCATATTGACCTTGTGGCCAACGACAATCATCAGCTGTAATCATATCAATATCATTACAAAAAAAGATTATAAACAAATTCATCAATGGAATTTGTTTCTGAAAATCGACCACTAACACCAGTTATAACAAAATCATCATTTTCGTTTGAATATAAATCGTGATAATGATAACCATTACTTTAAATATTATCAGACGTTAACAACAACAACATGCTTAGTTTTGATCTGAAAAAAATTTAAATAAAAAAAACGCAGGAAATGTGTGTCTATATATATGATTAATTTGTTTTTCTTTTACATTCTGCTTAAAGAAGCCCGTTGCTGTCGTGAAGACCAATAAATAAACGAAAAATAAAAAAGGATGAACCTGTTTTCAGCACATATTTTGGATGTTAAAAAATATATAATTCTTTTTCTTTTTGTCTAAAACGTCATTAAGACATACATTTCTCTATTCATTTTTTCGCACTTATCGGTCATTGCAGAGTATAGGTTATCTATGGTCCAATGAAAAAATAAATAAAAGACATGCTTCATCAGTATGTTGTATTCTTTTATGAATAAGACAAATAGAAAAAAGACAAATGATACGTTTGTCGGACAACTAATTTTTTGATTAGGCGCTCCATTGTTTATTCGTTATCTGGCCGTTAGGTACATTTCTAAATAAACAAGAATCTTCGACCTAATTTCAAGGAGTTGTATCTATATATAACCCTTCTCTTCATAATTATATTTATTTACCTGTATTCTCGAATTTACTCTTCTTTTATTATTTGATTCGAAAAATTAAAAAGACGCGAATTCAAATATTTGTTTTTTTATATGTTCACATGGAAAATAGGTGTGATAGAGAAAAAAAATACTCAGCAACTATTTGCTAAAAATATAATATCATGAAATAAATAAATAGGTCGATATTTTTTTGTTAATTATTAAAAATAACAACAAAAAAAAACAATTTAAAAAAAAATAATCTTATCAGCACAATGTATTCAAAAAATCTATTATTTATCACCAGTACACATTCTTTTAGCATCATTGACAAAGCCGAACTATTTTTCAAACTTACCCGTTTAATCAAAGACTTTTGAATCAATAATTCTTTCAATTACATAAACATTTATTCTCGTATTGTCTCTATTATTAAATATATTTTGCATTCGATCTACCTATCTTATCAATTCTAAAAACTTCGAATATTAAGCTATTAAATTTACAAACATTATAATTAAATGAAAAATAAATAGAATAATATTTCCTGATCATTCCTACTAGATATAATACACATGATTTTTCTAATATGTTTGGGATACTTGTTCATGACTTTTTGAAAGATGGTCGATACCAAATTCTGGATTCATTGAGTATTAAAAGCAAAAACTAAATTGCTTTTAATTTTTTTTTCTAATAGACAAACCATTATTTGTCCAAGTTGATCCATTTTGTTTATTTTTGGATTAGTTCAAATATATATATAAAGTAAAATATATTTACCTAAAAACAATTATTTAATCCCTTACTCAATCCAAAATATACCACAGAAAATATGAAAGCTCTAAATAGTGGATATTAACTTATAATACTGTTTAATGTAAAACTTATTTTGAAATAACTTCGCCTGTTCATGAAATGATCAATGAAAGATTGAACGTATCTTCTATGACTACATTACAGAAATTGTCATTATATTTTATGGTGTTCATAGATCGATCTAGCTGTGAACAGATCATCCCGTAGTTTAGACAAATCTTAATAGGTGATAATGAAAACCGTAAATTTTGAGTCTCAACCGAACTTCGACATAATTATCTATCATTTTACCGAGACTTTCGAAATTACCTATATCTCTTATAAACGAAAAAAAATTCTTTCCTCCAATTAAAAAAAAACCAACAACATATCCAATACTTTACTAATAAATGATTTAGATTCAAATACTTCGAAATACTCAATATTTTCATTTGTACGAAGAAATATAATCGAACTCTTTCTTATAACAATACTAAAAATACTCTCTATTTTTTTAATAAGCGATATAACTTACGTCTTGAATGCTTCAACATCTTTATTATAGCCATTTAATTTACTCAAAATAACTAAATTGACATTAATTTTTGATATAGATACTTTTCTCTAAACGTAAAAAAAAATAAAAAATTTCAAGATTCTGATAATAATATACTGGTAATTCACAATCTTCATCAATATCGTTGCACCTGTGTGACTCCAGGTAATCTAATAGAGAAGATAACAGTAAACATAATTCATGTGTCATTTTCCAGAGCATGAAAAACTTATAGATTTCATTATTATTGTCTAAAATACCAAAGGTTGATACACTCCCTTAGGACTATTTAGTCTTCGGTAATATTTTATTGCATTCAACAAGGATGTAGATGTGAGTGTGAGG